GAAATTTGAAGCCCTGAGGCCTTTGTTAAATACTGTTCTTACCAAAACTGTTTTCTCTTATCCTGTTATTAAGGGATTATTTATCCTATACAATAAATGTGCCTTATATATTTAACTTTAACTTAGAGGCTTTCACAAATTTTCAGAGAAATTGTCTTCTTTTGGAAATGATGTTATCTCAGTTTCCTGTAAAAACAAATGACCCATATTGCATTTCTTAATTTTTTTTCTCTAGCTCTTGACTTAATCTTATCCCTGTTAATCACTTTTGGATTAAGTGGAAACTTTTTTTTAAAGATTTGTTTATTTATACAAACAGAACTGGGTAGAGGCCAGAGGTGTGGGGAGTGAGAGAATTCACCAGAGACAGCGCAGGGAGCAGAACAGGCAGACTGACAAAGTACACTGCTGAGGCGGGTCGCATGCAGGTCAGGAGAGGTCTGCTGTGCCATGTGGGTCACCTCCATGCTGGGAATCGAACTGTGGTCATGCTACATGGCTGTGAATGGCTTCATAGTGCTGTGCTTTAACCGGTTGTGCCACCATGGAGAGCCCCCAAACGAAAACTTTGTTTTAGGGAACTATATTAGATATTCTTAACAGGTAGCGATATAATCACACTGGTTTAGTAACCTCTCTTTTGTGGAGTTTAGTCAGAAAATCTTCAGTTCTTTTAACATTTGTTTATTTGAATTTACTATAATATTCATCACTTAGAATTAATTTCTTAAGAAGAAACCTTTTTAAAGTAGTGCCAACAAATAAATGAGGGAAAGGCCAAAATTGGAGTGAAATTTCTACATTTTCTTCAACTAGTCCAATTTTTTGTGTTATAGTTATATAGTTATATCAAAAGTAAAACACAGTAGTGTAGTGTTATCCAAAGTGTGAATATTAATAGTTGTTTTGCAAAAAAAAAAATCGTTTCATGGAACTAATTATGGAAATTCTGGGTTAAACATTTGATTTCTTTACTGTAGAACTAAAGTTTTTAATTAACATAAAACAGTAGGTGCCATGAAGCAAGAAAGGAAAAGAGAGTTTGTAACTTTTTCTAAACTCTAACTGGCAGAACAACCAACTAAATTTTATCACATATACTGTGGGAAACCTTGAAAAGGAAAATGAGTACGTTCAGTACTAACTGTTAATATCAATAATGTTATATTCTTTTAGATTTCTGGAAGGCCAGTATCATAAATTGGTATATTTATACTATCAAGTTTTGTGTTTGGTTTTGCCCTTATCCTTCAAAGAGCTTGCTTTTGGAGATAAGCAGTTATACAACGTAGCTTATTAATTTAGAAGACAAATGATTCAGCCAAAAGTAGGGTTTATGGTCCTGACTAGAGCTTCTGGAGGAATGATTGGTTAAAAAGAAACCAAAGAAAAGTGATCTTTATATTTTCAATCATGAATCTTATGGAACACAACATTCCATTATGAACTGTGTGGTAACTTAACAATGCAAGCCGGAGATTACAGACGGCCCACGGGGTAGATCTGGCCTGCAGATAGTTTTGTTTAGCCTGTACAGTGATTTTAACATTTGAATTGAAATTTGTTCTCAACATTTTAAAATTTCAAAGCTTTGGGTAAAAGTCTCAATTTCTAACTGCTCTTGAAAAATGGAAAGTAACAACATTCACAAATGATTACTTGCTGGAGCTGAGAAATGTCTTCCTTTCAAAGGGGTGGTTTACTCTGGTGTTGTCACTGACTGCCTACTAACTGTTACAAATAGAGGCTTTGCCTTTATCCTTAAAAAAGATTTTGTTCTGAAGGCTGGACACATTTATGCTGTGTGTCCCTTACAGGCATTTGGTTTTGTGTGACCCCTTCTGTTAGGACATAACATGGCCAAGGACTGGTAAGCAAAGGTGTCCAACTGGCACAGCCTCTTCTGAAAGTCACCTTTACAAACGAATGCTGTCAGGTCGCTCCAGGAATCTTGTGAGACTCACTTAAAGGAATCTTCACTATTTCTGGTGGCATCTCTATTCTTGTCCTCAGGGTATTGAGGCTAATACTGCTCAGAGTATGGCCTGTTTGGCGACATAGTAGAAGAGTTGTTTCATAAACACACAGTGATCCCTGTATTTGTTAAAGTTGTTTTGCCAGAGGAAAATTATATTGAATTAGGACAGTTCAAATTTCATTCATTCTCAAAAATAATTCCTAAAGAAACAGATTTTAAGATTTTATTTATTTATTTATTTATTTATTTATGCATAGGTCAGAGGTGCTAGGGCTGAGAGGATTCACCAGAGAACAGGCAGCTCTACTGAAATATACTGCTGAGGGGAGCAACAGTAAGACAGGAGAAGTCTGCTGTGCCACGCGGGTCACCTCCCTGATGGGATTGAACTGATGCTGCAGTGACGATAGCTTCATAGTGCTGAGGCTTAATCCCTTGCACCACCAGAGAGGCCCAGAAACAGGTTTTTTTTTTTTTTAAGCCATTTTTATTTATATTCTACTTTTCTATAATATACTTTAGTCAGCTTGTAAAATGTAATATTGTAAGATGAAAAACACATACTTACACAAATCAGGACCAGAAAATATATTCAAAGAGTAAGTCAGAAAGATGAAACATGGGCCCTTCCTGGTGGCACAGCAGGTTAGGACACAGCACTGCAAGCAAGTCGTAGCCACTTCAATGCCAGTTGGACCCCTGGCCCCAGAGGTGATCTGCATGCCCAGCAGATCTCTCCCATCTGTCCACCGCTCCCTTCAGCAGTGTATTTCAGCACATCTGTCTGTTCTGCTCCCCACTCTGTCTCTGGTGAATCCTCCCCACTTCTATATGCATAAATAAATAAGTCTTTTTAAAAAAAAAAGAAAGATTAAAACATGAATATTAGGCCACAAATTCTGAGAATAAACCTTAGAAGATAAGAACATGTCTTATGTGAGAGTGAATTTGTATTTCAGAGAGAAACACAGGCTGTAAGAGAAACTTATTAGTATAAACATTGCCTCAGCGTTCCTTTTTGCTTAGTGTAGAGTATGCTGTTGTTGCCTGTGTTGACATTTTTCTGATTCTGCAATGGTGCGAACTGTGAGCAGCTGTTTTCTGGTAGCAGCTGGGAAGTGTGGGTTTTGTGAATAGGTTAATCATTACTTTTCTCTAGCATCTTCTTCCTGTATGTTTACCTAGTCTGTAATGCCATGAGGGTAAGGGGATGGGTTGGGCGTTATATGATGAAATGAAGATGGTTGATGGTGTAGAAGGAGAGAAGAGAACATAATAAAACTTTTAACAGGGGAGTTTGTAGCCTTCTGTAGAGTCCTTTTGGACAGCAATGATCTCTAGCTGGCATAGGAGGCTGCATGGTCCATGCCGCTGATTAAATGAAACCAGACCACTTGGATTGTTTTCATTTGTGATCCTCTGTCCAACTTACCTTACCAGGTCCTGAAACTCCTTAACTATTGTATAAGGAATGAGACTAGAAGAAGAAAGGGTTCATTGTCAATAAAGATAAGTTCTTCTTTTAAAAATATTGGTGATGTTAGAATCTTTATCCTTACAGTATCAGAAAAAATTTTGATCCTGTTTTTAATTAAAAATTAAACCTCATGAAAACCTTCAAAAGTGGTGCCTTGTGATTTTAATGCATCTGCCTTTGTGGTAAATGTCAAAGGAATTAATGATAATTTAGTCAAGGAGACCAAATTTTATAAGGGAAGAACTAGGAGTTCTGGGCTTTTTTCTTTATTCGTGCAAAAAAAAAAAAAAAAAAAACCTGTAGTACATATGACTAAGTAGTATAAGAGAATTGTAAACAGGTCCAAGTTTTCAGGGTCTGAATGGAGATTTTATGGTTTCTGGCTAACTGGGGAAGACAACAGTGTCATAAAAGACAAAAAGTTAGGTGAGAGTGAATTTTGTAGCAATCAAGGTGTTTTGAAAGTATAATTAGAGATACAACCTTTCAAATGGGATTCAAGCTAAGCCACATGAAAAATGATCTCATTTCTTTACATTAAATGTTGATGGCTGAACATTGAAGAAAATGAAGAATTTTGCTGGTCCTAAGGAAATGAAAATTTAACTTTTGTTTCTTACCCTCATCATTTAAGGGAAAAGGGAAAGGGGTGATCCTTCAGGGGAGACTCTGGTTTCTCTGCTTCTGCACATAGTCATTTCCCAGAGCACATGACAGGCGTGGGGCTGGTGGGCAGGGTGAAATTCGCCCTTTTGGTATGGAAGGGTATTCTGGGTATTTTTGTTTTATTTTTCTTTAGGCTATTCCTTGATAATTCATTTATAGACTTACAGGGGTATGTTTTAAGGTTAAGATTTTGATGGATTACCTTATTTTTTATTATCTAAATTACAACCTATAGGTAGGAATTGAGAGTCCTAGTGAAGAAAAATTTCCAAATATATAGAGAAGCATATTCTCCAAAGATTTCTGTTTCTACTCAGTCAAAATTTGTTTCAGTCTCTAGACTTGCTTTTACTCAACCATATCTACCACCGGTAATTCCATGCTAACTTAATGAGTGTTACTACATTAAATTATATTGCTGAAAGAGAAATGTTTTAACTGTAGGGGATGATAAGAATTTTAAAGCCAAACATATTGCTAATTTTTAGAAAATACTGCTAATGCTCCTTTCCCTCCCTATAGATGGGCTGTTAGAAAGCTAAGTGCTGTACTGTGACAGGTTAAAGATAGTCTGTCATGCATTAAAATGGATCAAAACCAGACTCTTCCTCGAAAAGACTGCCTTTTTTTTTTTTTGAAACCACAGGTGGTTTCTGAAGGTTTCATGGTGTATATCCAAAGTGTTGAGTATAGAGCCTATAAGTCGATTCCCCCAAGAGTTCCATTGAAAGGCACTTAATGCAGATTACATTAACTAATAACTGGATATTGTTTGGGTTGTATATGTTGGAAAATGCACAAATCAGTGGGTTTGTCTTTAGTCACTCATTTGGGGTTGATGGAAATGAAGTAAGGACCAAGTAAACAACTTTTTTTCAGGTGCAAATTCGACCATGGAACCTAAGTGACAGTGACTTTGTAATGGATGGTTCTCAGCCTTTGGACCCCAGAAAAACTATCTTTGTTGGGGGAGTTCCACGACCCCTTCGAGCTGGTGAGTGGAAATAGTAACACCACAACAACAAAACCAACAACAAAGTCCCCAATGCATTTAGTCTTCGATATTTTCTAGGTTTCTGATCAACTATGCACAATCATCAAAAAGAAGGCTCCATGTCAGTTTTGCTGAGCTTTTCTCAGGATTACATACATGCTTTCTCCACAAAGTGGTCTTACTTCTTGATGGTGCAAGAGTGAATTTCATTAAACTGTTTATTTCAAATGCATGAATTCTATTTAGTGCTTTCCTATTCCAGCACATATTTTTAATAATAATAACAACGGCATATTTGGCAGAGTGCACAATGACACATACAGAAGTGCCCTATGACAGACAGATCTGGCCAGCACAGCAGCAGGCCCACTCAGTACTGAGCCAAACCTCTGGTTGGCGTTTGTGTCCCTGGGAATCAAGCTGAACTACTTGAAACCGGTTCCTATTTTTTCTTAAGCACTGTGAAAAATTAAATATTTGAGAATCTTTACTATGATTCTATAAAGACTCCTGTTTTTAAGTCCCTTTCTAGTGATGAAGTCATTGTCCCTGCCAGGGTGTGGCAGAAGCATCATTGAGGCATGTAAAGTAATGCTGAGCTGATAGTTAAAGCTGAAGACAAATCTAGTCTTCAGTGGATAAAGTTATTGCCAGCAGAATATAATAAAATGATTTGTAAGATTTAAATCTTAAGTGCTTAAAATAATTGAGTTTTTTAAAAACTGATGCCACTGTAATTGCAGGTACAGTGTTGTCTGTCTTGCTTGTAAGTAACCTAAAAAGTAAAACAAAAAGCAGAGATCATTAAAATCAAATTGTAAAACTGGAATTACAAAATATATTTTATAGCTCTCCAGCTCTATAACTTGGGCTGCTTAATTCTGAAAGTTCTTCAATATTTCTAATTTATTTATTCAACTCCAATCCACTCCTAAAAAAATAAATTTTGACTTACGTAACAATCGAGTCTCAATTCTCAGCTTCTAAATGTGTAAGTTATGAGTTTGGCATGTGTAATTTTACACTGTTTCAGAAATTCAAGTATCTTTGGATCTTACTTTTATTCTAATGGAAAAATGTCAGAAACAAAGAAAAAAAGCAGTGCAGCAGAGATGCCTCCCCCTTACTTACTGTCACAGAATAAAGCTTGGGGGGGCAAACTCAAACAGGAAAGGTATTATGAAATGAGGGCAGATGGAGCCCTTTGTTTCTAAACTATTTGTGCTTTTAAAAAAATTGTGGTAGGTGTGGTGTGGTAGCCTATGTCTGACGAGTGTGTTCTTATCCCTCTAAATTTTATACAGTGTTGTAAACCAATCTAAACTCTATTAAATATACCTGTAATTTTTAATAATAAATATTTTTCTTAATTTTGTAGGAATTTTTTTTTAATTGTGGCTGATTGCTTGGTAGAATATTTTTCTAACTAGGTTATGTTTAGAAGTAGAAAGGGAAAAAATATCCCCTTTCATATTATTTTAATTGCATATATATTCTAAAAAAATGGACATTGATTGCTAGTAATCTTTTATTGCACCTAACTGTAGAAAATACTTTAATATTTTAGTTACACTCCTCTTGTTAGCTGGGAATCTGGGGGCAGGGGAGAAAAGGGGGAATTCTGTAAGAAACATCCCTACCATATAAAAATAGCAGAACTGGCCTTAACATCATGTGTCTATTTTTAAGTTACAAATACTAGCTTATAGACTAAATTCAGTTTATTATTATACACCATTTATTCTGCCTTTATGTGACTCATTTTCCTTCTGTAAGTCCTATGAAGATCCATTTTTCATACTGTTACTGAAGGACAGGAAACCCACAATGCTGAACTATGTTCTTTCTTTAACGCAATTCTATGTCTGCAAAATGTTGCAAGTTCTAGAATTAAACAAGAATTATGTGTAGTTATCTAGTCAGAAATGGGGTTTGTGTTCTCTGTTAGATACTAAGCCTTTTATAACTTGAAGTTCTTTTAGTTGTTATTTTTAAAGCCAGGTTAAAAAAATTTTTAACTGCCTCATTTCTGCAGTTTTTTGGATAGTAATATATAATCACTTGGTCTAATGGAAATGTTCCCCCATTGCCAAAGCTCCTAAAAATGTAGCTCATTTTTAGGGGCTAAACATCCTATATTCACATTTCAGAATTTTACTCCTTATCCCCACACTTCCAGATTGGAGGCCATATAATCTAGACAAAAAGCCAATATCTGCAGCTTTTATGCATGTTCATAGAATTAATTATGTTTCTTTGGAATATACTGATCTTTTAGGACTAGTATTTGCCTAGGAATAAAAGATCATTGTCAAAGTAATTCCTCTTGATTTTGCTAGACAATTTTAAATTGAATACAGACCAGTATACCTGAACAATTAACATTTATTGAGCATCCACTCTTACTGGCACTGAGCAAGTGTGCATCATGTCAGACTAAATTAACCTTCCAATATTGAATTTCAGCTCATTGTCTATAGAGAGTCAGAGATTTCGGAACAGAAGAAAATGCAAATGTATTCTGAGGATGCTAATTCAGAATTAATTGGATGCTAAGTTATACTCTTTAATAGAGTGATTCTCAAATTTGGTTTTGAAATATTCCAGGACATTTCAAATTATTTCTACAGGGATGTTGTGTTCATGGAATTCTGAAAATTTCAGACAGTGTCTTTAGAATGATTCTAAAATGAATATAGATGACCATGTTCAATAAGTAACATTTTAGGTGTCCATATGGGTATTTTTCCTTAACCTGAGCTTTTAATATGTCACAGTGCCTAAAATGTTATCTCTTCTCCTTTGGATCTTGTGAGACTTTGTATTTTTAGTATTTCCCTGTTTAAGATCATTACCAGGAATAAGTTATTCTTTATGTATTCCTTATCTCACCAAACAAAAATGTACAAATACTTCTAAAGAAACAGTGGAACCTGTTTTAAGCAATCCTGTCCAACTGAATTTAAGTTGCTCCTTCTTGTTCTTTGACAAGCATTCCTTTTCTAAATTCTGGCTGTGGGGGGCTGGGGGGAAATCATAGGCCTAGAAATATTAACCTAGAAATGGAAAAATACCAATGAAAAATCCAGATGTTTAGATCACCTGATAGTTATCTTTAAGTCAAATAATATCCTGTTCCTATCATCTCTTGTCCCTTCCTTCCATCACCCCCATCAGTGACAAGGGCAAATCAAGGACTGTTTGTCTGAAATCTTTTGGTGTTTCTCAGGTTTTATTTTCCCCCTACTCTCCAACCAATCCTACCCCATGCTAAGAAAGCCTTTGGCTAGACTAACCATGCCACCATGTGGCTAAAGTTTACATATTCATCAGAGCTAGTACAATGAAATGGGCAGTCTGTCTGGTTCTTCACCCTGCCATCACCTGGGAGTGTAGGTGCTTATTGCCACTCTTCACTCAAGACTGTAAGCAATATATCTTCCTGATTCTCAACATAGAAATAGCCCGTTGGATATGTCTGTGGCATTAGGACCTGTCCATAATTCATCACTTTACTCTGAGAGGAAATAAATGCCTGGCTTGGGTGTTACAAGGAGACCACCAGGAAACAGTAGAGAAAGCTTTTGGTCCCTGTATTCTCTCCCATGTATAAGTATGAGTATCTGACTTTATTTAAAGCTTAGATAGCTGCTTTGAGGTATGCCTCAGCAATAAAGCTTCAGGACCCAGCCCCTCCCCGTTTTGCCTGGATTTGAAAAACCATGGTCTTCCTCTCTGATGAGAGGCACGTTCTTCCATTTTTCAACTCCATTTGCCCATCATCTGTTTCCCAACTATTGCCTTGCAGATTCTTTCAGTCTTTTTCTCCCCTTCTGCTATTCTCTGATGGATTCTGACATTTCCTTCCCTGTCCTTCCCTGGACTGTTGTGAGGAATGGGATGTAGGAATCAAATCCTGACTTGTGGCTGAGGAAATACGAATATTGTAACCATATCAGACAGAAATCATCTTATCTTAAGGTTCTCAAGAATGGAAACTTTTTCTTTCACGAAGTCCCAAGATCAGTATGAGTTGTCCCAGATAAACTCTAAATTGGACATACTGACTTGATGACCTGTGTTGCCCTGTGGTTAAGAATTTTCTGATGTAAGCATATGTTTGTTTTCCCCTGCCCTCAACTGATACTAAACTTTGCCATATTGGCGATAGTTTGAGTAACATTAACATAAAGCCAAAGTAAGACTAGAATAAATGGGTGCCTATAGAGCAGAAACCAAGCCAAGTTAATGTTTGGTAAAGATGTATGAGTAGAGGGAAAATCAACCCTTGGACAAAGCTAAACATATGAGCACCAGTCTGTGCTCAGCAGGGTACTCAGAACTCTTATACAAGTTTAATTCTCAATATACTAAGTGTGAGGCTACAGCTGGTAGTCTTTTCATTTTAGAAACAAGGAAAAAGAATTCAAAGGGGTTGATTGGTCTAAGGTCACAGTAAGTTAAAAAAAAAAAAAAAAGGCTAAGATTCAAACTTACATCTCCAGACTTCAACTTTGGATCTCTTTAAATAGAAGGAAAACTACTTTATCAAGCTGAGATCTGAGATGTTGTCTCAAATCTGTTAATTCAGACTGTTAACTGTTAGTAACAGCCAACTTACTACCAGTTTGATTTAATCAAATTAAGCACTGCTTTGTCTCTGGTTTGTTGGTTGTTCATACCATTTATTTGAAAATATTCTTAATTTCCCAACATTCATATGCTAAATGTAAACATATGAGCACCTGTCTTCACTTACAATAAATGAACTTTCCTGGTAAATCAGCTCCTCATTTTGGTGATCTAGAATGTCCACTCATGTTTCATCTTCTTCTACTTCATCCTTAGGTGCCCTATGCCTCTTTCCTGCCTGCTTTGGTACTTCCAAAGAGAAGAAATATGGCTTCTCATTCACAATTTAGAATTGGAATGATAAATGTAATGTTTTTCTCTTTCCTGCTCCACCCCACCTGACTCTCATGCTACCTCAGACTTAGACATTGCCTATGAATGACTTTGAAATCTAAATAAATGATAGAAACAGAACTCTGAGGTGGGGGAGTCAACATGATTTCCTCTCTGGTGCGCTACAGTCCCTTCAGATCTTTCTGAAGAATCAGAAACAGATATACGGAACAATAATTGGAGTTCAAACTCAGCTTCATAGACATAATCATAACCCAAAGGAATTCATGGGCTTGCTCTACACTGCACACAACTGCAGTGTCCTTTCCCTCTCCAGTCTGTGACACAGTGAAACTCATCACAGGAGCCAGTGTGTGGGGTAGCCTCATCACAGTGTTGCTGTTTTCATAGCAACTGAGATGACTTGAATTGTCTTAAGAAACAGTATGCTCTTGGGTATTACTACCAGACCTGCAATTTCTCACCCCTGTGGTGACCAGACAGACCATGTGAGCACTGAGTAAGAGGGAAAAAATAAATAGTGGTTTGGAGACTCCTAACTTCCTCATGGACACTGTTTATTCCTGCCATCCCCATCCATCTGCCTCCTTCAACTGTTTGTGTTACTCCAGGAATAACATCTCCCTGAGGTTACATGTTAAAAACATGTTCCTGGAAACTACATCTCTGTCCTCTACACAGGATAGTTTTGAATGAGGATCCACTGTCCTCATTAGAATAAGAATTCATTATCATAGGCTTAGAATGTGGTTTGACAATATTTATTAGATAAAACACATCCTTGATCCAAAGGCTAAGACTTTGTGAGCAAAGTTGAGAAGAGAACTCAAGATATAGGTCACAAGATACAGAAGGTTCTAGTTAACTTCTGCCAGATATTTGCTAATTTTCTTTTACTTTTCTCTCCTCTCAAGTCATCAGAAATGGTAGCCCTCTTCTCAGCTCAGCTCCCCTCCCAACAAAAGAAAGGGATTTATGTGTTGATGATACTTTAAAGAATCCGTTGTGCATTCTGGCATCTGTAGGTGAATTTTTATCTTCTATAGCTTAAAAAAAAATCCAAAACATAAGATTTGAGGAAGGCTTACATTGTATTTTTGTTACCTATATAGTAGATGAAATGTATTAGTATTTTCTCTTTTAAAAGCTGTTTTTACTAAGTGGTTACTTTTCTGCATTATTAGAAACTGTTTAAATTATATCCCTCTGGTGTTCAAACCCACCAAGAGATCAGCCTGCAGGAAGGTATCCTTTTAGTGTAGACTTGCTGGTTGAATAAAGGACCAAATGCAAACAATAGTTGTTTGATCATTATTTATCTTTCTTCAGGGGTGATCACGGTATTAGAACTTCTGTAGTTAAAATTAGCTTAGAGAGTTGTTCATCTCTTTCTACAAAAATCTCTTCCTTTTTTCACCTTGGTTTTTTTTTTCAGCTTCTCAACAAATTACATTTCACTTGAGTGATACTTTATTGGCTCAAAGTATGCAGACCTTTTGGTAGCCAAGAAAATGACTGTATAGATGCTTTAAGTGGAAATTATTTATAATTAGTTTCATAAAAGCATAAGTAAGTGAGGGTTTCTGTTTCCTATCAAAACTACCCAACTGCCAACAACATCAGCCATGGCCTAATTTTTTGGCATGCAAAAATGGTTTTCCAGCAGTTAAATTCACAAAGTAATGGAATGTTTGTGCTTGTGGAAGTGCCTTCTTTGGCAGCCAAGGATCCCTAAAATTCCTTTGGAGGCTACTATACTACAGAAGAACCTGTGATTACAGTAACTCTCCTCCTCAGCTGGAGCTTCAAGCTTGCAAATGGAATACCTTCCTTCTAATTCAGACACTTCCTTGAGTCCTTCCTGCACTAAAAGAGAAATGCCAATTGGCCACTTGCCAACATTCTTTTCCTGGTCATTCACCAGGCTGAAGGAGTGTTCACTCTCTTATTCTGTTCCAGAAGAAGCCAGGTCTTTGGAAAGTTAGTTTAATTTACAGGCTCTAATATTACTTATTTTACTAAGCCTGTTTGACCAATAAGGGAAATCCATTAGTGTTGCAGGGAATTAACTCTAACTGATCTCCGTTAGTGAAATAACATTGGCCTTACAAGTAGGTGTTCAAGCCTCCTTGGTGGATGAGATGAAGAATACGGAGTAACTGAACTCTGAGACTCAGGGTATGTGTGTGATTCTTATTTCAGTGTTCGAATAATTGTGATTCCTGGATCCAACCCCAAGACTATAGTCAGGGTCTATTTGGGCTCTATTCAGCAGTCTCGTTTTTGTGTGATTCAGGAATTCTGGCCATAATTCCCATAGTTGGGATAGCTTTTTGCTTTTCTAATAGAAACGCTTATTCTTGGTTTTAGTTATTGCTAACTTTTTTTCTCACCTTCTGAAACTTAACCTATTAGTTACAGGTCTTTCTTCCTAGTGAATATCTATACTTAGAAAACAATCACTACAATTAGGCAGTCAGGTTTACGAAGAAAATTTGAAAACCCTAAGTAGAAAGACAGCCTTTCTATTATTAGCAACATGGCTTTTCTTACTACCTCAGCAGCTTTAATTATAGCCATATTTGATTTCCTTCTGCTCGGAGAAACCCACTGGGGTTCATATATCATTTAGCCCTTCATCCTCTATCTGTTGCAAAGTTCTTACTTCATCTCACCACACTGTGCTGCTTTCCTTCTCCCCAGATACGGACTCCTGTGACATTCTAGTATGTTATGGTCTCTGGACACTGTCTGTGGCCTAGATTATCATCTATTTTTCTTGTCTTCTGCTTTCCAAATACCATGTATGTAGGTGTTTGAGGGACGAGGGTTGTTGGGTTATCCCCCAGGGGTAGGGTTAAGTCTTTTGGACTTAAACTATGTGAATGGCCTGAAAGGAATGGTCATGCTTGGAGAAGGTGCCGCCCAGTATCAAGTAAACAATTACCTTCAGGCAATTTGGACCTAGGTAAGTAACTGCTACATGTCTCTCCATTGTACCTTTCTGGTGAGGATTAGAAGAAATGGACAGGAATGCAGACCAGACTTTGGGGTTTATAGCATAATGCAGAATATTTGTATTTTTTCTGCCTCTTTAGCATTTTAGTGTTTCCCAGCACATTGTTAAGTGCTCAATAAATATTCATTGTTGGAATCATTACTAATATTATTTAGAATTTAGAGTGAGAGGTTAATGTGGAGATTTTTCAGCTGGGATAGAATATTCTGTTAAAAAATTTTTTTTAATATAGATATAAGGCTGTAAACATATTGCCTCTATTTAAAACAGAGTTAATTCTCTCTGTGCTTAAAATTAATATAGCATTGTGACTTTGGTTATTGCTTTCAGTTGTAGAGGTCAGTAAGTAGGGCTGTTTCTTATTAACTTGTTAGGGCACTGTGAAATGCTTTGCCTACCCAGGACCCACTCCAGTGGACTAAGATATTAGAAATTATCACAGGAAGATTACTGATGGATCATTCCTTTTATACTGTAGCTGAATTTCTGATTGTGTACACTCCGTTACACTTGTAAATTCTTAATTTTTTTTTCATTTTGTTTTTAAATATCCTGTGAGAATCTCCCCCACTTGAGTTTTAAGACTGTTGTGGGTACTCTTCATGGTACTCGACATGGGTTTTCCTTTTTTAAATCATACTGCATGATCCTTAAGTAGTTCTTGATTTTTCTGGGCAGAAGTACCTTCTAAATGTTGATACAGAATCATGTTTATTTTCTTACAGTGGAGTTGGCAATGATCATGGACCGTTTGTATGGTGGTGTCTGCTACGCTGGCATTGATACGGACCCAGAACTGAAGTACCCCAAAGGTGCTGGCCGCGTGGCGTTCTCCAATCAGCAGAGTTACATTGCAGCCATCAGCGCTCGCTTTGTGCAGCTCCAGCACAATGACATTGACAAACGGGTGAGCAACTGCTCTGGGTATAATTGCTGTGGGAAAGAAATGAAAATGTTTTTTTGGACCCCTGGGGAGAAAAGCACTTTGTGATCATGAGTGAGGAGCAGCTCTGCCTTGTAAGGCTTTAGTGCAGGAATCCATCTAGGCTGCCAAAAAAAGAAAGAGCACCTGTGGTATTTAAGGCACTAATGGACCATCTGCCTCACTCATCTCCAGGGTGACATTACACTTATGAAAATAACCCTGCAGAGTTTAGCAGACCAAACCAACGTTCAAAAGATGACGCCAACAGTGACTAAGGTTGAGAACAGGTGACCTGTTTGATCCACATAGTGCTCTTAAGATAACAAACTTGGACTAACATTTACTTTAATAGTCAGGAATATACCTAATGTTCTGAACTTCTGTTTTCTCTCAAAATGGCAAGGCCACACGTGGTAGCAATACCTGGAGCCACCTGGAGCACCTGTCTCCGCCTGGCTGCTCTTCACCATTCGACTGTTTAACTGCTCATATTGTATGTCCATATGCACTGCCTGCCTTTTTGCTCATTGTGTTACCTGCCTGATCTCCTCGAATTTGCTACAGCTAATCAAAAGGGGTGTATAGGGGAGTGTTGCAGGAATTTGATGGGTTTATTTGGTTTTACAGAAATGAGTTTGAATATCTTAAAACCCAGTTCTTCTGCTGTTTGGAAACCTGAGGAATAGTAGGAGCTAATCTAGCACCTACATCAACAGATTAAAAGAGCAAGTAGGAAAATAGTCTTGTTCACCTCTCTGTATAATTGCACAGTGACAATTAAGGCTTCCAGCAAAAGAGGAATGTTCTTTGGATACACACTGGACTAGAATAAAGTAATACGTTCTGTTAGGAAATTTCACCTCTATACCTGACAATTATCTCTGACTAATTTTGTACAGCAGATTTTACTTTCTTAAGATGGGAAGGTTTCACCAGTTGTAATAAAAGTGTGGAGTTCAGAGCTAGAACAAATTTCGATACATTTAAATCTCTGTTGTTTCAGTCATTGGTGACCTCAGGACTGATGTCAGAAGTCCTGAGTCCTCATCAAGATCTCCCTCCTGGGGACAGTGTGAACATTAAATGGGATTTGAGGATTCAATAGCCAGTGGCTAGATGTTTGAGGTGCACTCACTACAGATGACTTAATACTGATGTTTATATTACATAACTTGGACTTTGTCCTTGCTTTGTTCAATATGTAGTAAAAAGGCACACTGGCTAGTGAAAAGAGAATTGGCCCAACCACGTCAGATGGCTGGGACTAGATCTGCTCCACAGTGATAATTGCCTGTGTATCCCACTAGATTAAGATTACGGAAAGGGCTATAAAACACACATATACACGTACACACACACTCGTGCAGTATATCAAATGTGACATACTGTATACTGTAGTGGGATTGTCATGGTCACAAGAATGCCACCTCCATCCATGTGGTTTCATAAAGGGACATGTCCCTTCCTTTGGTGCTCTGGGATGAGTTATCTTACGTGAGAGATTAGAAATCAGTGAAAGTGATGGCGTCCCCTCTCCCCTGCCTCCCAGCAACATCTTAACACTTTATTTAAAACCTCATGGAGACCATTTTCTTTATTACGAGAGATAGAGGTCAGCTTCTGTGTTGATTTGGGCTTCTTATAAACTATTTTTCTGTGAACATTATGCTCCCTTCCCTAGAACTGTTCTTCTAGAACTTTATTTTTCTGGTTTCTCCTCCTATTTGAATATAGCCAACAATAATTTATTTTGTTCTGTGGCATCTTGAGCCTCTGTTAACTACACTTTTCATAGATGTATTTTTCAGGTTTATAATTTTATGTTTATTCATATTTCTTCCAAAGCTTAAATTTGAGTTTTTCCAGAGAGCTCCCCTTCTATGTAAGTCCATTTCTATTTCCTTTGATATTGTCCTTTTTCTTTCTCAGAAAGAGATGAATATCTACAGAAAATCTGCTGGGACTCTCTCCTGAATTACCCCTCCAAGACTTTAGCAAGTCTCCAGCTAAGCTTTTGAAACTTGGTGTCCTGAAAGTAGAGACAGATGTCCACCTGTGCTCACAGTCCCTTTTCCTTGCTATCAACTCTGAGATGCAGCAATCTTTTTCTTTCCTGCTAGTCAACCTAAAATTGCCTTTAAACCGAAACCTTGACTATTTTGAATGCATTCATCTTTATTACTTTTCTGATCAAATAAGCCTCAAATAATACTTTTCTGTATGCATTATTGTAAATGCAGATTCAACAGAACCCATATAGGTGGCATTCTAAGGATTACTTGCTTCCTGTTTGCAGCCCTCCTCCTTTCACTTTTGGCCCATCTGAAGCGTGGGAGAGGGCCACCTGCAGCACAGCAGTGCCTGGAACCAAGAATGTTCTAGAACTGTTTAAAGTGTGGGTTCTCAGGTTGTACCTTTCCCAAATAAAGTGTAGGAGGTACATGAGAAAGAATTTGTAGTATATTTCCTTCCTTTTTTATATTCAACCAACTTTTTTCAAAAAGATAACTCTGTTGGGAGTTTATATGTATTACTGATATTATTCTTCCTGTTTTTTGTGTCTTCCTCCATCGTTCTCTTCTTCCTTTTCCCTCGCTTCCTCTTCCTTTTTAGATGAAGTGACTTATGGAGAAAATAAACCTCTGTTGTCTTGATTGCTTCTTACCATCTTAGAGACCTTTTGGTTTGCCTATGAATATAAAATAAGATATGGCAATATGTAACGTTTACAGGAACAGTGAAGCTATAACTTTGGCACTTACAGCTCTACCTTTTTTCTCTCAGTCATAGGTCATCATACTTGCTTAAAGAAAAGGGATAGTTTTTTGGTTTTATTTTAGTAACAGCTTTATTGAGACTGTAATTCACATTTCAAACATAGTGAATTTGATGTGGACAATTCAGTTGTTTTTATTATACTTACAGAGTTATGCAACCATCACCACGGTATATTTTAAGAGGTATTTTAATGTGCATTGTTCAAGAAGATGATCCATTGTGTAATATCCCTGTTGAGAGCATTAAAGTCCCCCAAGAAGAAATGATTCATTGAAGTAGGTTGTTAAATGTACACATTAACAAATTTTTAGATGTGGAATATCTAGCAATGACAGGACTAAGAGAGCTAGAAGGAACGTCCAATGGTAGCTCCTTAGAATGCTGCCATGATCTTGACTCCTCCACCTGTGCCCAGAAGTCTGAGTGGGAGTGGTGACATGGGATGGCACTCAATAAATGGTTAAAATAAATTAGGAGACTGTATGGAAAGCAAGAACTAGAAGCAGCCCCAGGAGGGTGTCAACGGTAATGGAGAGACTCACTGTCATCTCTCACCTGGACAGTCAGAGTAGACTCTGATTAGTCTCCCCAATTCCATATTAGCCCTTTTCCATTCTTACATGCTTCCTTGAAATCATTATTTGAGTCATGTCCTCCTCTCCTTTAAAACTTTTTATTATGTTTTACTACCATTAGGATAAGGGCCAAAATACTTAATTAACATAGCCTACATGGCCATTCTTGTACTGCATCCTTCTGCCTCAACTCTCCCTTCTTTATCTTGAGTCAGTCATACCTGGCATTTTTCTCTATTTTTCAGGGTCATCATATATACTGTTTCCTCTGTTGCCTAGCACCCTTTTTTCCTTCAAGCCTTAGCTTCAGTGATGCTTTCATATTTGCCATAGATAATTGTCATAATAACAGTTATCATTCCCCTGTGGTAATAAATATCTCTGTAGTGAAATAATGCTTTTTTTAAATGCCCATCTACCCAGTTAAACTGTACAATCCATGAGGGCAGTGACCCTGTCTTTTTATATTAACTAATGTAGTCTTAGTAGTTGATGTACTTGACATATTTGACACAGAGTATGTACATTAAATATTTATTTTTTAATGAATGAATGAGAGAGTTGTGGGCTGAATGAAGAGGTAGCCCAGGTAGAAAACCCTTATGTCCCAACCATTGGCATATCCAGTGTCCACCAGAAGGTACTTTGCATAGCTTTCCTTTTCTACCTAGTTAAGAATACTCACTTGAATAATAAGGATTGAGTTTTGCTGTTTACAATATCAAAATGTGTTCTCTGGCACTTACAGTAGTAGAAGTGTAGTAGTCCATTAAAGCTGGACTAACCCTTAAGGTGTGACCTGATCTAGCCTCTGTTATTATACAATAGAAGACAATCTAGGAGAAGTGTAGAATCCTCAAGACAATGAAATCCTCCTTCCATAGACCTAGGTTAGAAACCTCTGATTTACATTTAGGTCTCTTAGTGAGTTTTATAGATACTTCAGTATTTCACATAACTTATAAGGTGAAAATATACTGCAAAGAGTAGGGAACACCTGGAGTTCATTTTCAAATGTTTTTAAAGGTTTGTATATTTATGCATACAAGAACTGGGGTACAGGCCAGACATGCAGGGTATGAGAGGATTCATCAGAGACACAGTGGGGAACAGAAAAGGCAGAGTGACTGAAATACACTGCTAAGGGGAGCAGTGGGGGGGTCAAAGGAGATCTACCATGCCATGTGGGTCTCCTTCCTGGCCAGGAATTGAACTCATGCTGCGGTTGCTTTGGATAGCTTTGTAGTGCTGCGCTTTAACCTGTTGCGCCACCAGGGAGGGCCCTAATATGTTTGTAGATAATTGTGAACATTAACAAAATTAGCTTGAAATTTTCCTTTGTTCTTTTTTGCAGTTGTGTTGTTTTTAATTTTCACGTTCATGTTGTCTTCATATAAAACCTTTTTGAAGTCACTGTCAATATAGTTCCATTGGGTTATCACATTTAGTGAAATGTTTAGCATTTTCAGTGTCATAATGATACTTATTACCAAACATTATTATTATAAATGACACAAATGCAACTCATGCCTAATTTTTTTACTTTAAAGGAAAAATTATTAACATCCTGAGGTAAATCTTTTTAAAGATTACATTTCATGTAAGCTTTATTTTATATTTTATGACTAG